GCCTGTAGCAGTGACCCTGAAATATGATTATTTTGACTGTAACACCAGCTGCTGCAGGCTGAAAAAGACAGGAAAAATCCTGTTCAGCTTTGCTGCTCAATCTGTCCAAACGCTTTAGATGAAGAGTTAACCTTCTGAAGGAGAAATTAACCATTTCATTTAAAATGTAGAGAAGTTATCAAGCCGACCCCGTTATGGGGGTCTGATAAAAGCTGTTAGGACAGAAAGTCACGCCGTCCCCAGAGAAAGCTGCTCCCTGCTCTGAAGTGATGACCTCCTGAACAGTTCTGAGCTTGTGTGGATTCCAAGACCCAGAGGAAGACCCAGGACACGCTGGAGGGACTATGCTTCTCAGCTGGTCTGGGAACACCTTGGGATTCCCCCAGAGGAGCTGGTCCAAGTGTCTGGAGAGAGGGAAGTCTGGGTCTCTGCTGAGGCTGCTGCCCCCGAGACCTGACCCTGGATAAGAGGAAGAAAACGGAATGGTCCCCACAAGRGTGAGATCCTTCTCCAGGAGAAACACACAGAAACACAGCCACACAGATACAACACATACAGTAATTTTCACTGGCTTGGTTAGATAGCTAGTGTTAGCTAACTTTGAAGTAGGTTAATACTGTATGTTGATTCATGATTGACATACGCACACATTTATGAGGTAAGAAATAAATATAATACATATAAGAGGTCCCGCTGTGTAAAATATTATTGTTCAGGGTGACACTTTAGACTCAGTGTGTATGGTCCACGAAATATGTATTCCTGACAGTCACAGTTGGTAAGAAACAAAGGTTCCCATTAAATTCCATAGGAAATAAGTGCGGGTCATTTTTGACCCACTTATGGAAGAATGGGGTAGGAATTGAAAAAATGCTATTTCTTAAAATGTATAAAAGATAAATTAAAAAAATTAATTGCATGATATCAGTAACAAGTTTGTTGAGGAATATCTGGAATCTGAAATGATGAAAACTTTTAACTACAAAGATATTGTAAAAACATGAACTCAATGGGTCAAAAAAGACCCACTTACGCATCTAAGGGTAAAGGGTTGACCAGAAACCTCCTCAAACTAAACCCTGACAAAACTAAACTTTTTCTCATTGGTAGTAAATCCCAAATAAAATGTATTATTATTATTATTATTATTATTATTATTAT